ATAATGTAATGTTCTTTATTTGGTTAGAGGTGACTTCTGTGGATAGTGCTGATGCATGTGACAGAGCTACTATACATGAAAAACCAAGGCTTCTAAATCATCTCTCTCCTAAAATCTTGACAGACTAAGAATGGTTTACTTACAGATTTATCTTTATACTGCAGTGAAGATCGTAACTATTGGAGTGGCAAATCTGATAGCTGGATTTTTTGTCATTTGTCAGAATGTGAGTATTCTGCTTCTGCTTTACAGTTGCTAACTGTTCTTCTACCTTCCTTTCTCCTTCTGCTTTAGTTCTTACTTCTTAATCTATCCTCAAATAAAATGGAAATTTGCAGTTGGTAGACTTGAAGTATAATGTCGGAGGAGGTTCCAATCTTAGTGATCAAGCAGATCGATATGGAGAGCTACTTGGCCAAAGAAAGCATTTCCTACTTCATGCTACTTTTGCCCTGTTGTCATATTTTGTATTTGGCCTTGTCCCACCAGTAGTATATGGCTTCACGTTTCGTAAGAGTGACGACAGAGACTACAAGCTTATAGCAGTTGCAGCGGCTTCTCTTTTGTGCATTATCATACTTGCTGCTGCAAAGGCTTATACACAAGGAGCAAATAAGTTCAGTAGATACTTCAAGACTATTGTGTCCTATGTTACAGCTGCAGGTATGGCCTCAGGTGTTGGTTATGCAGCAGGCCATTTAATTAAGAGGCTCATGGATCAGTTGGGCTGGTTTGACTCAAACCCGGCACCCTCTCTTTTTTCCTCCGAGATGATTTCACAAAATCCAGTCTGGGCATCCTATTGACATCTTCTCCGTGTTGTTAAATCTTCTGTATTTTCCTCTTCGTTCTTTGTAAGCTTTTAGTACCTCTGAGAATTTGGCTGTTTCCTTTGGGAATGTTGAGCGAGCGAGTGAGTTTTGGTTGTTCCTACGTGAAATTCTGATGATGTTTTTGTAGCCCCTGCTTGTGCTATTCAACTCTGTGATATTCTGATGATGTTTCTGTCGGGCTAATTGATTTGAATTATCTATTTGAGTAAAATTAAGTTTTTAAATCAAATTGTCCGTATTAATCACAATCATTATAACTGAAATCCAACTTGCTCATAAAGAACTGGAACATTTTACTGGAATGATCGTATCAAATAAGAAAGGGAAATACCAAAAAAGGAAATGCAGAGGGAATCAAGATTTCTCAAGTAGTGAATTTCCATCATTCATCTCAAGCACGGAGTGCTTATATTAATCAGTTCATGTTTAAGAACCTTTGGTTATTTTGATGCGAAATAATGGAATGAGATGTAAGAAAGACTTCCATTCTTATGAGTGCATACTATATTGAATACATACAGTGATACCTAAAGTTGCTACGATTTTTTCATTTAGACACCTCAAGTAGGCCTTATTCCGATTGAACACTTGTAGTAGACTCAAAATATACCAATCAGACACATCTCGCTAACATGGTTGATAGCGTGAGTTGCAAACCAATTAGCAAAAAAGAAAGATCCTTTTGCCTCTTCCAATGATATGTACATTTATGTGACTGACTAGTTATCCGGATTAAAATTGTATCAAGGCATAAATCTATATAGATTACCGAAAAAGTTAAAAACTTGTGAATTGCACTCCATAACACGTCTAATTTTAAGGTGTTAGTCTGTTAAACAAAGATAGGCGCGAACTAAAGACTAATTACTGTGCAGTATTCATTTGTTTTACTCTGTCACCTAACAAGAACGATAAACAGGGTCAGAGGGGGGCTTCCTTGGAAAAAAGAACTTAAATCATAATTGTTTCAGTCTCATAGATCCTCTGCTGTATAGCAGAAAATTATTAGACTGCCTTTACTAAAATTTTCTTCTTGTTCTTGGATTTCCTTTGCACATGTAGTCACAATATATAGTTACAGTGTAAGCCCAAAAAAAGGAGAGCTTGGCTTAAAGAATGAATTTATCTATAGTTTGTAAATCAGAAATTCCATCTTGGTGATGAATTTACTGCACTTTGACGAGGTCTAGTTGGTGGCTCTACGCTGTTTCGTCTAATTGGTGGCTCTAAGTTGTTTCTTTTCTTCATGATTGAAGATACTGTTGGGCTGTAATAGTCATTGCTCCTTTGTGAAGTTGCTCCTTGGGAGTAGACCTTTCTTCCTTGCATACCGCTCCTTTGTTGTTCTAGCATTGCTCGACGAGCACCCGAATTATTTTGGACTGCTCCCCACCTATTGTAGTTCACACAACTTTGGCTCCTCCCTACTTGCTGATACCTTCCTTCTCTTGGGCTTGGAATATTTCGGCTTTCAGCAGTTTCAGCAGAGTACATTGTTATCTGTCCATCACTGCTGTATCCATTTTCCATTTCCAAGATCTTTATTGGAGAAGAACTTGATTGAACTTCACTCTGGACCCCATTTACGGATCCAGTTGAAGCAATCTCAGCATCTGCCACCGGGTTGGACTGCCACATATCATTTGGTTTGTCTTCTCTTATTGGCTGCTGCAAGGAAGGTTTGTTGACAAAATTTTCACCAAAGCTGGATGGGATTTTTCTGGCAGGTTGTGCCGAGTCAGGAAATTTGGCAATCCTTGGTAGGAAGTTAATATCCAAAAGCTGGATGTGAGTACCTTCCTTCTTCCCAACTGGTACTGAAGTTAAATTTGGTGACTCGTAAATTTCAGGAGTTCGAATTCCATGTACAGTATGAGGATCAGTAGTTAATGCTTCGTCTTCCATATTAGTTGCAAAGGCAGAACAGCTTGGTCCAGAGTGCTCTCTAGGTTTTGACAATCGGTTCGATGATGATGGAGTCTCCCCATTTTCAGCTTCACTTGACTTAAAAACACGCCTCATTGTGAAGGAAGCACATGAATGCTCACTCTTTTGACCAGCTGACATTAACCGAACTATCGGTAACTTGGGTTTATTGATGTCGTCAAGGTTTCCCTCCCAATGCTGGTTTAACCAGTCACATATGATGGGGATCGGTATACCGAATTGCATGGGAAAGTCCTTCCTTGACGATGAAGAGGATGGTGAAGCGGATGATGATTTTGAGTGTGAGGATGTTGCAAGCTTCATAGGGTCACATACAATGAACGCAAGATTGCCATGAACATCAAAACCAGCAGTACCTGGGCTCCAACTTATGCCATCAGTTGACAGCTTTATAAGATTATCAGTCGCTATTACTACTTTTCCTTCACCAACAGTCAACTCTTTCTTCTCGCTATACCCGAGGAGGTAAACCACATTACCCAGCTCCAGACTAGGTTTGGAACAGGTTTTAAGGTAGTGAGGCTGCTGAACATGTGCATTTGCGTCTCCATCCATGACGTCAAGGCCCACTATTGTCAGATCTAATACAGAACTGGTAATAAAGAATCTGCAAACAAATGGGTACATAATCAGATGCATAAAATTGAAGCAGCCAGAAGAAAGCAGAACTTGTGTTAACAATAAACAAGATTATAAAGGACTAGAATGCAAAAAGCATTCGCTCATCAGAAGGCAAAATAATTTTAGAACGTACTAGCAGAGTGCTAAAATGCCAAAAAAAATTAAAATTATCATGGCAGCCAATTGACTTCAAGCCGTTTATGATGGTAAACAGGTAGGAAGAGCAAACCGAGCACTCTTCCCCCCCCCCCCCCCCCCCCCCCCCAACACACACACACACAAAAAGCAGCTTATTTTACTGTACTGTGCAATCAATTTTAGCTCAGATACTTCTTTCATGCTTTACAGTTCAGGAGACACATAGAGGTAGACTGTCGTATACCAATTTTCCATTCAACTCCACAACATTGTCGCATCATATTGAACTTTATAATATTGGTTGCAAACACATAACAGCCTGTCAATTATATTCCAACCTGATTTAAGCTAAGTAGCTAACTAATCTTGAGTTGGTAAAACCAGCATAAGAAAAAAAAGAACTGACTTTTACATATCTGCAACTTTTTAATTCGTTAGACATTATTTGAGGCCAAAAGTGTCAACAACTTATGATGATCTTATAGTAGCTCGAAAGTTAGTTCTTCCACAGATAAGCCTAGATTTTCAGGAAAGCCTCACATTCTAGTAAACTATTTTGCACAGGATGATACTTCATCTTGTCCTTCAAGTTTCTCCATCTCTCTGTGACATAGATCATACCATGCAAAACTTGATTCACACGGATTTCTCAACTTTGTTTTCAGAAGATCAGACGCGATATTCATGTATGCTACTCATATTGTTAAGCTGCTTTCTTTTCTTATAGATTAAAGCAGTGTACACACACAAGCAAGCAACCAGTTCTGATGCGCAAATTGTACATCAGTCATGACCCATCTGATAACCTCCATGTTGGAACACCAAAAAAGTGCAGCCCGGTGCACAAAACATCCCACATTCCCGCAGGATCCAAGAAAGGGTCACATCCCAAAGTCTGTGATGTAGTCAGTCTACTCTAATGCAAGCATTAGTGGTTGCTTCCACCGCTCGAACCCGTGACCTATACGTCACACGGAGACAACTTTACCATTGTTCCAACTAGCTTACTCGATATCACAATTGTGTTAATTAAAAATAAGTTAACAAATTCATCAGAGTTTTCTTGAAGTGTCTAAATCGGAAAAGCACTAGTAAACTTCAATACTGTGATCGATTATAAGTTGGAATAAGAAATCTCAATCTCAATCTCAAATCTATATCTAATTTTATGATAGACTATATTTGACAACTTTGTTTGTATTATTTATGTTAACTTCAAATTTCTGCGACCCTGGGAAAAAGAATCTCAACAAAACAATCATCAGAAGCACACGGTACATACAACTTTGTCGTAGAACCTTGACCAACTCTTTATGAAACACCAACATCATTTCTTTAATTGGGTAATACACAAACTAATTACTAACTTCTGTCCTGTGATGCTAATTACCCATTTTGATAACATCAGTGATTGTAAGCATTTTTTATTTTATTCCTTTTCCCTCTCAAGGAGGGATATGGTACCACAGGCCAAATTCAATACACAAATACAAACTTATAAGCTTCTGCCTTCTGCTAGTATGAAGCAATTCCATGCATTAACACTGAAACAGGCTTAATAGAAACAAAGAGATCAGGCAGAACATTGACCATTTTTCTGCTGAGTTAGGTACTTAGCAACAGCTTCCATCATGATAACAAAAGCTTGAATACTAACAAATGAAACATTAGCAGCTGCTTCTTCCTTGACCTCATACTCAATTGTGGCTTTGGTGATGCATGTTGTTTCATCCTTTTCTATGACATCAAAGCGGACCTGAAAGAAAGTGAATCCGCGATCAAGAAGCCCACCTTCCACTGCCATAGCTACTTTGACCCGCTTCTCATCATCCACAACGATAAATTTTTCCTTAGCATAGGTATACAGCGGAGTTCCCACTGGAAAGGTTAGTTTGAGGACTGTCCCAACACCGCCATCGCCTTCAATTATGTCAACTTTGTGTAGGATATGTGGAAGCTCTTTGACCACAATATCGGCCAGTTGAAGCGTGCCATAGACCTTCCAAGCTTCACTGGCAGCCACAGCTACTTCAATCTCTTCAGAAACCGTTCCAAACATAATTTTTGGTGGTTCTAAGACTAATTCTCGGCGGAAGAAGCAATAAAGAGAAAAGCCTTTAAATTACTGAATATGCTCTTTCATGTACCTCTCTAAGTATATATAAAGGCTACAACTAAAATGGTCTCAAATTCCACATCAAGACAAAGGTGCACACAAAGAGAATATATATTCACAGATTCCAAACACTGTAACAGCCGGCCGGCCGGCCAGTTATTCAATGCCTTTTTAGTAACAACCAACATTTTGCTCAACTATGCTGGCCTAAACAACTAACTAATCTTATAAGTAGTAATCTAACTAACAGAACCCATAGACAAAGGTAAAGCTTTTATCTTTAGAAACAACACTACAAAATAGAAAGAAGAAAACTAGTAAAAGGGGAAAGGGGGCAGACCTGTGAGGGAAAAGGGAAGAAGCGACGCCGTTTT